GGCTCTTTTTAAAGATGGTGGTGACTTTCTGACTAAGGGACTGACGACGTTGTTTACAAAGGTCTGGGAACTAGAGAGCGTACCAACGTCATGGAATGAGTCGATAGTTGTCCCTATTTTAAAAAGGGTTCACGTCGTTCCTATAACAACTATCGGGGGATAAGTCTACTTCCGATTGCGTCCAAGTTATTGGCTTCCGTTATACTTGGTAGGTTGTTCAGAACCCGAGAAAGATTGACTCGCGAGGAGCAGGCTGGGTTTCGTTCTGGTCGAGGATGTATTGATCATATCTTCACCCTCCGCCAAGTGTTAGAACACCGCCATACTTATCAAAGGCCAACAATCGTAGTGTTTCTTGATATCAGGGCTGCCTTCGATTCGTTGGACAGAACTGTTCTATTGGATTGTCTATTGAAGAAGGGTGTGCCTGAGAAGTTTATTAACATCCTAAAAGCCCTATACACAAACACCTCAGACAGAGTGAGGGCATACAATCACCTTTCTCCACTATTCCATTCGAGCAGTGGGGTTAGGCAGGGTTGCCCAATCTCACCATTCCTCTTCAACTTTGCCATCGATGACATTCTGGAAACAGCCCTGACGGATGTAAGTAATGGTGGTGTGGATCTCTTGCCTGGAGAAAGACTTCTCGACCTTGAGTATGCGGATGATATTGTCTTACTGTGCGAGAATGCCCAAGCCATGCAATCCGCACTTAATCAGTTGGCAATCAGTGTCCGTAGGTATGGTGTGTGCTTTGCACCTTCGAAGTGCAAAGTTCTTCTACAAGACTGGCAGGATTCTAATCCTGTACTCACTCTGGATGGTGAGCAGATTGAAGTAGTCGAGAAGTTCGTGTATCTAGGTAGCTGCATAAGTGCTGGTGGTGGTGTGAGTGATGAGATCAATGCACGTATAGTGAAAGCCAGAGCGGCTTATGCCAATCTGGCCCATCTTTGGCGCCTTCGTGATGTTAGTCTGGCTGTAAAAGGTCAGATCTACAACGCGTCGGTGAGAGCAGTTTTGATCTATGCTTGTGAAACCTGGCCTCTCCGAGTTGAGGATGTTAGACGACTCTCTGTGTTCGATCATCGTTGTCTCCGAAGGATTGCTGGCATCCAGTGGCAACACCATGTCAGTAATGCAGAGGTTCGGCATCGAGTGTTCGGTCACAGAGACGATAATGAAATTGGTGTCACCATCTTGAAACACCGACTTCGGTGGCTTGGACATGTTCTACGAATGTTGTCCCAGAGAATTCCTCGTCGTGCATTATTTGCCGACTCTGGGACTGGTTGGAAAAAGCAGAGAGGTGGTCAGTATATGACATGGTGTCGTGGTATGAAAGAAAGCTGCAAAGGGCTAGCTTCTGTTGTTCCTTCACGACTCCCTGGTTGGGGTCCGAAAGACGGTGTAACGCAGTGGCTAGAGACGTTATCAGATATGGCTTAGAATAGAAGCCAATGGCGATCCTGCTGTAACCTTCTTTTACTTTCTTCATAAAAAGTGGTTGTATCTTCCTTAACTGAAAGATTTCTTCGGATTGTACCTTTCCGTTTTCCCCATCATTGTTCTCTCTCTCTTTTTTTTATAATTCCCCACGTTCATTACTTTTTTTTTTCTCTTTTCTCCTTCTCCTCAAATTATCATTGTTTTGTGTGGCGCATATATATTTGGTGCCCCCCTTGTACCAATATTTATGTGTTCAAATAAATAAATAAATAATAAATGTCACCATGTTATTATAATCAATAAATTGATATTTTATTTCCGGTGGTAGGATATCGACTATAGATTCTCATTATGAAAGATTTCTTTCAAGATTGTTTATGTGTATTTTTAATGAATCAGTTTGGTTAAGTGCATGTCGTTTAAGAGTTCTAGCATTCGGATAAATTTTAGATATGTATAATTCTCCATATCACAAAACTGCAAAGTGGCTAGTTCGATTCCTAAATCCATTACATAAACTAGTCGTCAACAGAAGTGTGAAAGACGTTTTCGATTCCATTTCTAAAGTGGAACATATGAATTTAAATGGGAAACGTATGATGTCTTTAGATGTAGCTTCACTGTTTACCAATGTGCCGTTAATTGAGACCATTGATTTTGTGTGCCAACAACTACAGGAAAAACAATTCAATATTAGAATTCCTGAGGTTAGTCTTAAAGAATTACTTTTGAAATGCACAATGAATGTCCATTTTGTCTTTAATAACACATATTATAGACAAATTGATGGTATAGCAATGGGTTCACCTCTAGGTTCCATCCTTGCGGATTATTTTTTCTGGCGAAACTAGAAAACGGACCTCTTAAAGAGGTTATCAATGAGCTTGATTTATACTGTCGTTACGTTGATGACACTTTCATCATTGCAGATCAGAACATTAGTAAAGAACAACTGCTAGAACGATTTAATAACAAACATTATGCAAATAAATTTACATGTGAAGAGGAAATGGATAATAAACTACAGTTCCTTGACGTTTTATTAAGTAGAAAAGAAAATGGTTCTATCAGCAGAGGTGTGTACAGAAAAAATCTTTCCAGCCAATACACACATTTTTTAAGCTTTGTGCCTCTTCATTATAAGAGAAACTTAGTCAAATGCTTAGCAAGTAGAGCCATGAAGATATGCTCTGTTGACACAATTGAAATGGAATTAGAGCAAATTCATAATAGGTTGATTGAAATGGGTTATCCACAGGGTTTCTTGAAGAAACACTAGCGTATAACAAACAAGAAGATAGTGATACTAACTGCTAATAAGAAACCTCTTTTCTTGAAGCTGCAATTCAATGGTGATGTATTGCGTGATAGACTGACTAGAGTAGTCAAGAGAACGTTTAATGCTGCCAACCTCTGTCTATCGTATTCGACCCGATCTATGGTGACTTTCCAACTAAAGGATAAGTTACCTGGTTACGCCACTTCTATGTGTATCTACGAATTCAGCTGCTCCTACGGAAAAAGCTATAGTGGGCGTACTACCACGCAACTGAACCAAAGAGCTAGTAAACACCTCACTTCGTAGTTAGGAAAAGGTAACGACAAGACAATACGCAGCTCGGTTCTATCACACTTGATCGATAGCGGTCATGTAGTGGACAGAAACAAGTCATTTAATGCTATTTATCGTATTCCTACTAGTTCTCCTTATGGGATTCGATCTCGTCTCTTACACGAAGCAGAAGCTATAGGGATTCGAGCCTACAAGCTGAGTCTTTGTGTTCAGGAAAAACTTGTAACACCCTTATCTCTCCCTTGGCCTTAATAAATGAATTTATTATTCATCATTGTTACTGTTATTTTCTTTTCAAACCTTCTCTTCATTGATTATTTTTCTTCACTCCATCCAATCATTTTATTTTATTTTCTCTCAAATATGCGTTTCACTGTTCAATTATCTGAATACTTCTTATTACTTAGTCTTATAATTTTTATAAATGTTATCTTACTGTAATATTTCCAATTATGTAATATTGATTTGGGCTTTTATTATTCTTATCAAAATCTAGTACACTTTTCATCACACTATCAATTTGTACTAATTCATTTATTATGTAATCGTTTTATTCATTGTTATCATTAACTCATAAACGATCTAGATTGACTTAATAATTACGTATATACATATAAATACATTACTGTATATTAAAGTAAAGCCTGATGAAGATCTAATCGAAAACAATATTGTTCGCTTATATATGTTGTTCTAAATCGTTCGATGTCTCTGGCAAATATAGATTTTCAGAATTGATTGTGTGGAGATTTTAGAAATTTCACTGGTTGAAATCATGAATCCATTGAAGCTAGACCACCATGGAAAACCTGGAAGCACTGGACTGCCGTTTCGTCCTAGTATGGGACTCCTCAGCAGTGCGCATCCACGACCCCGCCCCTCGCGAGACTCGAACCCAGGACCTATCAGTCTCGCGCCAGGCGCTTAACCAACTAGACCACTGAACCGGCATCCAGCGGTGTTAAAGTCTAACTTCAACCAATCCACGAAGTTGCGCCACCGTACACCATTGTCTTCAGTGAGCTGATATCTCACAAAAACTTTGCGGATTGGTTGAAGTTAAACAATAACACCGTGGGGTCCCGGCCCAATGGTCTGTTTGGTTAGGCTGCCGGCGCGGGGCTTGCAGGTCCTGGGTTCGAGTCCCGAGGCGGGCGGAGTCGCACTTATTTGTTAACGAAATTGTATCTCGAATACTTAATATATAGATTTTGGTGCCCCCTTATGTATCAATGTTTATGTGTTTAAATAAATAAATTAATAGTTAGCTCGTAATGATTAAGTTCTGTCATTCAATTTACATTTACACATTTCAAATATAATCCATATTTGAAGGCTTTTTTTGTGGAGATCATGAGTCAATTGAAGCTAGACCATCATAGAAAACCTGGAAGCACTGGACGACCGTTTCATCCTATTGTGGGACTCCTCAACACTGTACATCCACGATCCCGCCTCGTGATCACGACTATTATAATTACTATAATATCCACAAAAACCCTTTCTGATATTTATTAACGTATACTTTCTAGTGACGGTTTTCAAGAGGTGTTTCCTGGAGTTCTAGTGAGAAGCAATGAACAGTAGAGTTCAACTTGGTCTGTTGTGAGATAGTAATTCGCTAATGACAATGGTGAATGTGTCGCTCAATTTTGTGGATTAGTTGAAGTTAGACATTAACACCGTTGGATGCCAGTCAGCTAAGTGGTCTAGAGGTTAAGTTTTCACTCGCGAGACTGATAGGTCCTGGGTTGGAATTTAGCAAGACAGGATCGTGGATACGCACTGTCACGGTGGAGTCCCACAATAGGGCGAAACGGTTGTTCACTACTTCCAGGTTTTCAATAGTAGTCTAGCTTTAATTCACTCATGATCTCAACTAATAAAAGTAATTCATATTCTTTAATAAATAACTTTCTAAATTTTATTACTACCGTCTTTTTTTTCTTTCACCCCTCCTCCCCCCCCAACCTAGAACCATTCTCTCAAACAAATGCTGCACGATCAATACATTCTGATAATATTGTATCATATATTAGACAAGCATTTATTAAAACAAATGAAATTCTATCTAATCAATATCCTTTAGAATCAATTATGAATATGAGAAACAATTGATTTATATTGTATTGTATTGTATTGTATTGTAATAAAAAGCCATCAATCAAACTATATTCATGTGTGTATACATATATACATACTCGATGGAGAATGTTGTTGGACGACGGTCTATGCTCCTCCACGAGGATTAACTGGAGTATGTAAGTAAGTAATCTATTCACATTTCATTATATCTTTCTATGAATCTATAAACTGTCATTAATCAGGAATTAAATCAATGATGATATTTGTATCTTTACAAAGTTCTTGTTTACTTTGTACATTCCTATAATAAGAAATTTTAATACATAATTTATTTTCCATGAATGTAAATTCTACCCTACTATGTTTTTGTATAGATAAACTTTTCAATAAAACACAAATTGAATAGTGTCATATAAGAGAAGTTATATTGAGTTCTTTTATTATGATATAGTGGAACTTTGCATTTGTTTTCATATTTCTTTTAGTTTGTTTATAAAATTCATGTAAATGATTGTACAGATCTATCTACCTATCTTTCTTCATTTTATTCAACTTGATCATTGAACAGATAAGTTGATGTGTTTGTTGTTTTAACTTATTCATTTCTATATTCTTCTTTTTTTTGGGGGGGGGTGGGGACAAGTTCAAATTTCTAATAATAAAAACATCATTTGTGATCTTTCTTTCTTTCTTTCTTTCTTAAGAACAACAAGAAGAAGTGCATTTCTTGTTGATTCGTTTATCTGTCAAATGTTAAGTCATAAGATCGAACTCCCACTTCAGCCTCAATTAGTCAGTCAGTCAGCTACAACGTAGGACCAGGCACATATATATACATCAGTCCAAGTTGCCACACCTCATTTGCACAACAAGATCAATACCGAATTCATAGAAGTAGTTCATTCAATGGTGGTAATATATAAACGAATGTTTGCATATCAGGATGTAGTACAGGAAGAAAGAATTAATTAGTAGAAAGAAAGATATAAAGCAATTTTAATCTCATAGTTTAAAGGAAAGACAGAGAGTTTATACACTTACACCATTGTAATCGATTCTGAGCCATGTCACCCAGAATCTCCAACAATTGATTACGATAGTCATATAGACCTCAACCAAGTAGTCTGCATCTACCACCAACTTGGTTCAGACCAGTAGTGACTTCATGTACTGATGCCACGTTTTGGTTTGGCCACCATTAATTTTCTTCCAACTATCCCCAACACTAGTCAGTATTGTGCGTCGTGGTAATCGGTGTTCAGGCATACGTAACACGTGATCCAACCATGTTAGTCGATGAAGATTCACAACCTCATCAACTGAATTACCACCATTCTATAATACCCTGCGTCTGCTTTGGTAAAGAAAGCTACTGTAGCATTACACATAAATTGTGTGACTTAAAACTGAGTAATATAAATTTGTACTTTGAGAGTTGCATTATCTTATCTTCATTCATTTCTTCTCTGTTAATAATGGATAATAATTTCGCATGGAAATATGGTCAATGTTGTGTTGATCACCGACTATTTTACGAATTATTTATGTTCAGTATTATTCGGTTTGATTGAAGCATTTCTCACATTTCCCTAAATTCTTCCTTTCCAGGGAACTAATTCAAATATGAATTGATTTGTAAAAGTGCTTAAATCTTCCCGTTGTTCATGTTAAGGACTACTATTGATCAATCTTATTTGGTGATATAATCTGTATCCTGTGCAAGTTACTTCGATATTGTCATTAAGTGATAAGTATCCTAAGCAGAGTTGACTACTGGGTAGCAACTGATGAACGCTAAATAGGACGAAATGCATATCGTAGATTTTACTGTTGAAGCCACTATTCAACTGCCTAATAATGTTCCTATATCGTTAACACGTATGTATTTCCATGCTCATATGAGCATGTATGATTGAGCTCATTTGACAGCTCACTTATATATTTCTCTTTATCGCTTAGATATCAGTTGTTGCTGTACTGAAATAAACTGTTACAACACCTTCGTTTCTCCTTCTGGGCATTGTATATCGTTCGAAAGTATAGTACTAACGATTACCAAGGCTATTGATGTACGAAGCATAGGGATAAATTTGAGGATATTCTATAACACACTTTATTTATTTACTTATTTGAACACATGAATATTATTACGAAGGGGGACCGAATAGATATGCGCCACACAAGTCACTTGATTTGTTTATGGGCTGTTATACTTCCCGAATGTCCAGACCGAAGAAGGTGGTTTTCTTAGAGGACCACATTTAGAGCCTTCGACCTAAAGGTTAGGACTGCGATCGATCAGTCTTTTGTTAGCATATGTGCATCTGAGATGCAGATACATCCAATTGACGAGTTCCAAATAGGAAGAGACGCGCGTTCTGGATCCCACTGCTAGCCACTATTTATCTTTGCTTGTTAAATAGACTGTTGTATGAAACAATATTTCCCAGAAAGATATCAAATTAACTTATACAATGAGTAGGCAGTAATTCTAAAACTTTTGTTGTTCTATCATTATGTACACGATAGATACTAAACGTTTAGAACAATATCACTAAAAGAGAATGAAAAAAAAAACATCTTTCAAAGTTATATTTCAAGTAATCAGCATTCATATTCGCTTAATGTCTATCTACTGATATTCAATTTATGTGATGTTTTTATGTCATATCAGAACGAAAATCTAAGGAACGGTAACTCGCAGAACTACATTATGGATTATTATTATTATTATTATTATTATTATTATTATTATTATTATTATTACGTATATTTTTATTGTATAATTATGAAGTAACTAGATTATCTTGTCTATATATTTCACTTGTCCTAAGCTTTCGGTTGACCTTTAAACTGTTCTTATTTTGTTGTCAGTCTATAATTTACAGTTTCCCAAACTGACAACCATTTTTGACTTGTTCATGTACAAATGTCATTTTCTATTTTATGGTGTCAGTCAGTCAGTCAATCAGTCAGTAACAACGTAGAACTTCGTACGTACGTACATCAGTTCGAATTGCCATACAACATTAGCACAGAGATGCAGTTGTGTGTGATTTGGTCGGTTATATCTGTCATATAAACTATGTTTGTTTGAAATAAAATATGGTAAAGGTTGGCAGGGCAGAGAGAGATGTTAGAGAATTGTAGACCAATAGGAACCCAGGTGTGGACTCAAAGTTAATAGTGCTGGTCAGATACGTAATTAGTCAACTAACTCATAGTCACTCAGTTTGAAAGTAAATAATTAATGTGAAATAGACTGAATTGGAGTCGGGATTCTGATTATTTGCATTTCATGTGGTGTTGGTTAGCGGTCGTAAAATATGAAACTTCGGTTTAACTCAGCTGTTGTGGTATTGTTTTCTTTTTTGAACTTGTTGCGAAGTAATTACATGCCCATTACTTAGATGATCTACCCTAAATGAATATATTGTAATCTTTTAAATATGCGTTGTGCCCCAGTAATTCTTGTATTTAATCATATGGATATTTATAGTTATATATACAGAGGCAAAATTGACTATCTTTTTCTTCGTCTTCCGAATGGGGTTCAGATCAAAGAACTTTTACGTAGTCAGTTAGTGAGCATTCGCATATCGGTCCATTTAGTCGAGATTTTACCATAGCACCTAGTGAGGTCAAACCAATCGCAGCAAGAACAAGGTAATATCATAAACGATCAGTAAGAATTGCTCTTAAAGGTTTGTAGGGATGGTCGAGTTTCATTAAAATCATTAACCGATTTTGAGGACGGTTCACGGGTGAACTCGAGGAAGCCTTAAGAAGCTCAGAAAGAGTCGAAGATATTCCGTCCAATCATCTTTCGGAAGAATATTCTAGAATCGTTACCTATGCTAATAACCCCCTGTATGAGGATTGGATAGCTATAATGATGATTTCGTTTTTACTAGAAACTAGAAATACCTGACAGTTTTGTACCATAATTGACACTGTTTGGAATAACATTCCTTTCACTAGTCTTCTGTCTTCTCATTGTGACTTTGAATGGTTCTAGCGTTCAAGTGCTCATGTTATACTTGTTATATCAAGAATATAAGCATCTAGAGATATAACACGTATGTAACTTAGACTACCATTAAAAGCCTGAGAGCACTAGACACCTGTTTCATCCTAGTATGTGAGTCCTCATCAGTGTTCATTCAAGACCCCTCATGCAGGAATTGAAGCCAGGAACTTTGGTCTTGTACGCAAACGCCTAACCTTCAATTCGATGAGTTGATATCCAACAGCTTTAATGTCTAACTTCAATCAATCTAATAGTAGTCTAACTTAGATCAGTTCATGGTTTCATTGAAAATCATGAAGAATTTCTGACTCTTAAATTAATTAATCAATCATCTAATACTACAGTCAAAAAACTATAATAAAACATTAATTGAATTTATTAAAATGGTACTAATAATAGCTAATGAAATTATCATTTATCCGATCAATTCATCATTCCGCTACACATAGATAGATAATGACAGACAAGCGTATATAACTATAGTTTATTAACATATATCCTATGATATTTTAATGTGTTGAACCAGCTTTATCAATTGCTGGTAAACGTGGACTACTTACACCACTATTTAAATTCGGTGTAGTTTGTGGACGTTTTGGTGAATTCATTGGTGTTTTATTTAATTCTGATAAACCACTTGTTATAATAGATCCTGGAGCTGGTAGATCACCTGGTTTTCCAGTTAAATTAAATAATCTTGGTGGATTTGGTCGTTGAGGTGGTAAAATTTTCTTATCAACTGATTTATTGTTATCTATTTGTGTTATATTTTTCTTCATAGGAATAATAGATAGTTGCGGTGATCTTTTTGTTGTTGTTGTTGTTGCTGCTGTTGATGTGCTGCTAACAGTTTCAGTGACTAGTTTTGTTTCCCAATTATCATGATCATCTTTCGTTTTAGATAGAATTGTTGAAATTGCACTAGTATGATATGGAAATATTATATTTGTTTTATCTGGTCTTAAGAAAACCTAGAAAAGAATTGCTTCCCATAATATAATAC